TAGGCCAGGGAAAGAATCCACCCGCAATGCAGGAGCTGAAGGACATGCAGGTTCGATTCCCTGGGTCAGGAAGATCTCCTGGAGGAGGGCCTAGTAACCCACTCCCATATTCTTGCCTGGAGAACCCATGGACAGACAAGCCTGACAGGCTACAGTCCATGGCGTCACAGAGAGTCGGACACAACTGAAGCGACTTAGCAGGCAGGTAGGCAGTCTTTGTTTAGTACAGAAAAATTAAGTATCTATGTGATCAAATCTGTTAATCTTTTTTTTTTAATTTGTTTTTTTATTTCAATAAAATATTATTATCCTTTTGGATAACTACTTCACAGAATTTTGTTGTTTTCTGTCAAACCTCAACATGAATCAGCCATAGGTACACATATATCCCCTCCCTTTTGAACCTCTCTCCCATCTCCCTCCCCACCCCACCCCTCTAGGTTGATCAAAAAGTAGTTGTAATGCCTATTGCTTTCACACCCCTCCAGCCTGTGACTCCCACCCCCTGCCCGTATCTCAGAGTTTCTGTCACCCACCAGAGTTTCTGTCTCATTCTTATTTTTCTATTTTCTTTTCCAAATTCAACTCATCGGGAAGCCATTAGAATGACCCATTCAATAGCTCAACTCCTTCATTCATTTATTCCATCACAAACACAAACACTTGTGTTGTCCCATGTTTATCATATCACCTATGCCTTATTTAGATTAAGTATAAATATAATGCGTAGTGTGTTTACATATACGTGAAGTGTATATTGATGTACATCTAAAAATTTTCCAGTTTAGACTCCCCCACTTCTTTTCTCTCGTGAGGTTTTCAATCAACTTTGACATCGCTTCGTTTCTAGGACCTCTTCCCTCTCGAAAGTACAAACTGCATCCTGTAGGGGTCTCTTGCCTTTGTCTTTTCTACCTAAGGATTTTTTGTTGTCATCCATTTTTATTTTTCTTGACTCTTTTTTTGGCATTTGGAGACATGATTGCCCCATGGCAGACTTAATAGTACTGGGTAGTATAAGAAAGATGAACAAAAAAGAAAATATAAAAATGTGTCCATTGGCTTAACCTCACCAAGGGCTTTCAGATAGACTTTCTAGTTCCTGGACACTTTCTGTCCTTGATGTCCTTCTTGGGTGGAGGAGTAAGTCTTCATAAATTATGAATAACAATGGATCCTGTTGACTATGGGTTTTTTTTTTCTTTTTTTTTTATGTGCTTCTTTTGTTATCTTTTAAAAAATTTTTATTTATTTATTTTTATTGAAGGATAATTGCTTTACAGAATTTTGCTGTTTTCTGTCAAACCTCAACATGAACCAGCCATAGGTATACATACATCCCCTCCCTTTTGAAACTCCCTCCCATCTCCCTCCCCATCCCACCCCTCTAGGTTGATACAGAGCCCCTGATTCAGTTTCCTGAGCCAGATAGGAAATTCCTGTTGGCAATCTATTTTACATATGGTAATGTAAGCTTCCATGGTACTCTTTCCACACATCTCACCTGCTCCTCCCCTCTCCCCATGTCCATAAGTCTATTCTCTATGTCTGTTTCTCCATTGCTGCCCTGTAAATAAATTCTTCAGTATCATTTTTCTATATTCCATATATATGTGTTAGAATACAGTATTTATCTTTCTCTTTGATGCTGACTTTATTTGTTTACAACCTTCCAGAGTCATTGGACAGGCACTGGACATAAAATATCAATTTTATTATTGCTCCGTTAATAATGCTAATAAAAAGGATAATGTCACACATCTTTTTTTGGCAGAGGAGGGAGGGACAATGGAACCCCAACAACATATTTCAACAGTTGAGCGAGAAAATTTGATAGAAAGGTTCCCCTTGTCTCCTGCAAAGGCCCATCTTTCTCTCAATCTCCTTGACTCCCAAGAAAGACTGTGTAAATATGCTCAGTGAGGCTGTGTTTACCTTGTTTGGTGTTCAGTCAGCCTGGTTGACCAAATGCCACACAGCAGGCCAGGCAAGGGTTCACCATGCCTGAGAATTAGGCAATGTTTCTCCAGTATTTGGTAGTTGTTGTGAGGTGGGATCTTAATACAAACTTTCTAAGTGAAATAAAGAATATTGAAATGAGACAAGTCAGCACTTCACTAGTAGTAGAAGCTTCCCAAAGAATAAATTTGCCCATCAGAACTTTCTGTGATAGTATTGTTGGTGACTGAAACATGATTTCATACAAGAGAACCACTTCGGAATTTTTTAAGCTATTTTTTTTAACACATGAAATTATACATGATACAAAATACTTGTCTTACAAGTTGAAATCTTTACAGTTATGGGTACAGTTACAGTAATGCAAGTAATATTAGTGCATTCACTTAGAACAGAGTTATCTGTCTTCATTGGGCTTAACACAAAGCCAAGAATGAATCATTTGCTTAAATTACTTTCTAGTCTTTGAATTTAAAAAAAAGGAAAAATTACTTCTACCTCATGGATACTGTGTTAGAATGATAAGCAGTGCCAACAATTAAGAAGTCTGGTATTTCTATAAAAGGGAGATTGCATTCCCATAGCTTTTAAGTTGTAAATCCTGAAGTTTTGGCTGCAAACGTCTATCGAGTCGTCATTATCTCAGCTTGCATCATCTTTGGTAATAGGCTGCCAACAAGCAGAAACTAGAGACTACACCGTTTTTTCCAAAGAATCCTGTATTTTAATGGATAGCTGAATAAATAGACATTAACTATGAAATTCACATTAAGATAGAAGGAAATCCAAACATTCTGATTGCTTTACCTCTTAAATTTGATATCTACTACAAAAACATACTATTTATGTTAGGGTAAAAATAAGCTGAATCACAGGAGTGTAACTGGGACGTGCTGGCAGATATATATACAGTAACATGGAGGAGCCATAAAACAAAAGTGTTCATATGTACATAAATTCGTCCTTACTTTTTTTGCATGGAGAAACACTGTTTTATAAAAATGGGAAAACACAGTAGAACATGCAACAAGGACAATACACTGTGCGCAGCAGAATAAACAAGACACGGGAACTATGGGCTTAAAAGAGGATTTGGGAGCTGGAAAAATAAAAAGGAAAGAGTTGAAACCTGGAATGCTTTCTTATTGAGGTTTCAGAATATAAATTTGTCTAACAAGCCTCTTGATAGTTTTCAAAAGTTCCCACTTGACCATCTAGGGTGAAGTGTAAGAGCTAAAAATAAACCATCATATTATACAAAACTTTGTATATTAGCATACAAAAGGTAACAATTTACTTTTTGTATAAAATATAACCTTTTGATAGTATATTTATTTCACATATGTATAAATATAACCCAAAGAATATGCTTTAAGTATTTCTACCAAAATATTCTTTACAAAAGTTTACAAAACAAGTAATTTATTTATATTTACAACCTAGCACAGAAAAGATTCTGGGCCAGTGATGTTGGTATTGTGTAAAAGAAAGAGAGTGCTTCTAGACATTTTAAAGATCACAAGAGGGCTTTGCAGAACTTTCAAAATGTGTTCTTCCTAGAACAAGTATTTAAAGAGTTATTAAATGATTTCAGTTAAATATCTTTTGATAATTGAATACGTGAGTATATAACTAAACAGGCTAAAGATAACCTGTGTTCCTCTGTAATGAGGAAAATGATAGTAATATTTTGCATACATCCCAAATCAGCATACATATTCCCCATTTTATAGCTGATCTGTTTCAATTCAGCAGGAACTCTTTCTTTGATACAGTGCTCTGCCCTGAGGGAGAAAACCTGGATATGAAGGGCCCATCTAGCATGTGGCAATGATTCATCACATCAGGGACAACAGAATGAGCAGACTGCTACTGACAGATCACATTCTATTTAGTTGTTCATCCAAATAATGTGTCTAAATAAGGCCAGATTGGTTTTTTTTGTTTTGTTTCAATTACACTTTCCTTTAAACCCTATGACATAGATGTGTACCCACCATCCCTGGTTCTGACCTTTTGCTTCTTATCTTCAACCAAAACATGACACTTTATAATTTCAGTTTTGGTCTCCAAACTTCCTTTTCTTACAAATCAGTCACTGACCATCAAAATAAGCAGACAGGGCCAGGTTCAGTTTCACTCAGTATGGAAACTAACCAGCAGGCATCGTCAACAATAAGTAACACCTCAGGCTATTTGTGGTTAATACATCTCCTTTAAAGCAATGCCCAATGGAGTGTTTTCTCTTTTAAATAGTGGGATCTGATGCAGACTGGTGTGCACTAATATTTCAGTATGATTAGGACAGACCATAATTGAAGCTTAAGATTCAGAAACTGGGTTTGGAAACTGGTTGTGGAAAAAAGTTGACCAGTTCTGTGTTCCTGTTCCTTACTAGACACAGCATCTTGCTGAAGGACAGGATCGGTGGGAAAACTGGAAAAGTAAGGGATGAATCTGAGGAAGAAAGTTGAGAGTCCACTGGATATTCTCTGTGTTCTCCGGTTTTCCCTCACTTAGGACACTGGTTACTCCAAACAAATCTATAACATTTCAACCAACCCTGGAAATTTTAGGAAACCTAAATGAAAAGATGGAGTGGAGAGGTTAAACCACACATACATCTGTTGGAGCAGATTAAGGAATTTGTTGCTCGTTGCTTGGAACGAGTACCTCTGCATGGGGTTTAAACGAGCTACAAGTCCTATTCCTTTTCTTTCAGGGAGAAGAGGACCTTGGGAAGCCTATTTTATACAACTAATTGTACATCGACATCACCGTTCTGTTTGGATAAACTGGATACTGTGCCCTGGGGTTTAGATAGGCAAAAGTGATCCCAATGCTTTACTTCCAGGTTTGAGATTTAAAACAAGCATTTGGACCAAAACGTTCACCACTACAGTTACTTTCTGCTGTCCATTTTTTAGCCAAGGTATCTTCCCTAGAGTCCAACTAAAAGTCAACAGTTTGGCCTTTCCAGAGTCCTTGTAAAATACTGCCTTCTAGTGCTTGCAGTTTGTGAACTGTCTCCCTCTTCTCCTCTAGGAGTTGTTCCCCAAGATTTCATCAAGATTGATGTCTTTCATCCAGTCATCATTACCAGGCTCTGTCTTCAATAAAGAATCGATGAAATCAGCATCACTGTTTAGGGAAGGGCCCATGTTATCAGTCTGCTGGTTGAGAAAGTCAAAAGCTAAGTCGCTGCCATGGTCAGTTCCTTGAAATGCCCTGGAACTTTGGTTGGGTGAAGGAAAACCGCCGGCTGCCAGGGAGGGTGGCTGGCTGACTGTCCTCGACTGGCTCAGCCCTGTCCCTGCCTGGTTCATCGTCGGCAAAATCTGTGTGCTTAGCTGATTTGGTCTGAGATTCAGACTTCGGAGCGGACCCATGTTTTGTCCATTTAGTGTCTGGCTCATCTGGTTCATGGGTCTCATTTGCACGGCTGGTGTTAACTGATTAGAAGGAGCCACTGCTCTCTGGGAAAACTGCTGGCTGCCAACCGCCTGTTGCAGTGACTGGTTTGGCGCATAGGCTGTAGTCGTGCCGGTGGGGAAGCGCACTCCTGCAGACTTCAGCGCCTCCTGTTGTTTGGCTGTTGATTCTTGAGAGGCCCAGTTGGGTGCTGCCGTGTTGGACGTGATCATTACATTCGACGTTCTCTGTGCTGGCATGCTGGCCATGCTGTGGGTTAAATTTGGTCTTAATGGTTGCGAACTGCCAACAGATCCAGCCCCAAAAGTGGCCACATTATTACTGTTGTTATTACTGGGCCCTAAAGTGGGCGGCCGTGGCATCAGAGGGCTGTTTTGATTTGCTATCAGTTGGTTTGGGTTCCTCGGTTGGGTCAGTTGACTCATTCCTGAAGTGACGCTGTATGTGCTGGGTTGACCACAAGGCAGGTTCCCGTACATCCCTACGTTCTGAACGCCTGTGGGCAAGGTCGGCATTCGTGTCCCATGAGGAGGAGACATGAGGCTGGAATTTGGAGTTAGGATGGTGTGCGTTGAAACTGGGTTTGCCAAAGCCTGGTTAGAGTTTAAATTCGCTGTCGATGAGCCACCTAAGAAAAAGAAGAGAATTATGTTAGTTCATAACAGCAGGTTATCTCCTCTCTTACAGCAGTTGACAACAGCTTATCGGCTCTGAGGCTGCCTTTGGGTGTAAGAACAGAGTAAGAGAAATAAGCATCACAGCATATTACGTGAAAGGAATGACAGCTTTCGGGGGGAAGCATCACCCTAAGTTATCCCCTGGTCAAGAGTTTACACATTATAGAAAAAAGACGGAAATAGAATGGTTCTATTTTTCAGGCTTTACTCTCCTTCTGGAAACACTGAGGAATGATAGTCAATCTTCCATTCTGAATTACCTTTACTCTGTTTCAAGACCAAAGACTACAACTTTGACTTCCCAGCTGTCCTAAAATCCATCCTACTGGTTACCCCGGGGTCCAAATTAGAACATGTGGATGCATCTTATACATGGCTACTAGATCAATGGTCCAAATGTATGGCCTGAAAATCATGTCCAGTTTTCATCTTTATCATCCCCACTCAAGAATTTGCCACAAGATGGGTAAATTCCCATCTCTTCGAACATTTGGAATTCAGTGCAATCCCTGTTTCAGTGATAATCTCCATACGGAGAGTACTCTGCTCTAGGAGGTACAGTTATCATGGCATCGGTATCCACACACCATGAGCTACTTCCACTCATGCCATTTCCCTTCTCACAGGATGCCCTTCTTACTTCACCAAGTCCTATCTTTTCTTCAAAGGCTCAGGCCAAGGTCCAGGCTCCTTCATTAAGCTTTCCCTGATATTCCAGCCTCCTCTCCCAAGCAGCATTTGCTCTTTCAAGTTTTACTTAGCATTTAGCTTCTGTACTGGGAAATCCATGGAGCTACAGTTGAGGCTACATCGATGCCTGTAAATAAGTGATTGAATGTGGGACTGTTCAACCACAGCCTGCTAAATAGGGAGGCTCCACCCTATTAGATAGTGATTAATCAATACATTGAAATCTTCCTGGCTTGGGGAGGTTAAAATCATCATGGGAAAGACATCTTGAGAGGTAAAAATGGAATGCCAGAAAGGCAAATAAAAATGCTTGCTAAATGACAAGTTACATGAGAGAAAGAATTTTTGCCTGTTTTGTTCACTATCATATTCTCGAACTGTAGTGGATGGTGCATTCAACTGATCATTATTCAACTGATAATTATTGAATGAATGAATGAGACAATGAAACAAAGCTATAACTTGGAAATCAGAGATACTGAGAAACAGATAATTAGACACATATGAAAATAAGAATGGCAGTGTGTGAAAAAAGAATGGCTGCAATTATAACCCAAGGCTATCCCCTACTGCTTGAGGATAGCTAGCATGGTACACACCTTGACAGACAGAAGTCCTTGCTGTCTGTTTAAAAATATGTGCCTCTAGACTACATTCCTCTCGAAGCAGGAGCTGTCTCTTGTGTCTCCTTGTACCTCCAGGTTTAGCACAGGGCCCTGACTGTGTTTGTAGGGCAGTGTTTAATGAAGAGGGATCAGAGTCAGACAGGAGATACTCGGACAATAACTCAGAGTTCACAGGCTGCTAATGACATTAAGCAATATCATCTTGGTATCTGGAGGTTTCACGAAAAGGCAATTTCCATTATAGAAATGCTATGGAAAACACTTTAGAGGCTTTAAAAATTTTAGAGGCTTTAAAAATCACTCCCTGTAGATGCCCCCTATTTTAACAATATGCTCTGAAAAGGTTTGTGAGTAGAGCTGTGCTTTTTTATGTTTTCCAAAACATTTATTGTTAGGGTCACTTAAGTAGCAAACATCTGGGGTGACATTAGCATAGAATCAATTTTGCAAAAATTCAACTTAATTCAATTTTCCAAAGGTGATGGCCTGTAAGACCAAAGTCTAGGATGGTGATGGTTATGGAGTGAACATGTTGTATTAAGAGGACATCTTTCAAAAGTTGATATATTTGGCTGGTGTTATTGTCTTTTTTTTTTTCTTTTCAAAATTTGCACCCTTTATTTAGGTTACTTTACACTCTTAAAAATTATTCATTTATTTATCATTCAAAGTGTTTTTTAAACTGGAGTACAATTGCTTTACAGTGTGTGCACACACACATTATTTATTAATTAAAATGTATTCATTATTTATCAAAGTATTTTTTAAACTGGAGTATAAGTGCATTATTACCACGTTGTCTTATTTCCTGCTGTAAACATGAATCAGCTATATGTATACATGTACCCCCTCCCACTCCCCCATCCTACCCCTCTAGAGAGCTATATTTTTAAACGATCAGAAGAGAATTTCCATATAGATCACAAAATATTAATCACAGTTAACATTTAGAAGCTCCTGATATGTGGTAGAAATTGTTCTAGGTGCTTTTCATACAGCATTTCTAAGATTAACATCTGGCCAAAGTGACTATTATTGTCCTCAGATTGAAATAAAGAATGATAAAAGAGTTTGTGTTGTGCTTGATGTTTATTTCATTCTTAGAAGACATGGGAAATACAGCACTCTAGAGCAGTGATTCTTACCCATCTGGGAGTTAGCAGCTAGATTCTAAAGATGCCTCCTTTACGAAATGCCCATATACACTGTGGAAGAGACTTATAGGTCTAAATAACCAACCTCCATGTCTCCCTTAGAAACACAGCCTTCATTCTGCAGCAATGTGCCCAGCTGAAAAGCCACAATTTGCCAAACTTCTTTGCTGATGGGGTGGGGGTGGGGGGTGTCCATAAGAATAAATTCTGGCTAAAGGTAGAAATTACTAGTTGATTATCCACAAAAACCCTACTTTAAAAAGGGAATCTGATTCATTTGGAAGGCCATTTTACCTCTTCCCTTCTTTCATCTTTCTACCTGGAATATGGAAACGAAGCTGGGTGATGTGGTGGCCACCAGGCAACCTTTACAATGGAAGCTACATGCTCAAGAAGGCAGAGTAGAAAAATAAAGAAGCCTGGACCCCTGATAACATGATAGAGCCACTAACCAGCCTCTCCCTGCTCTCGCTGGGGATCTTACATGGCTGGGGAAAAAAAACCCCAAACGTTCGCTTTGAATGTGGCATAGTATTTCAAAGTGCGCTTAGCTTACCCCAAGCCCACTGGTGGGCCAAGAAGGCTGTGGTATAAGAAGCCATGCTCCAAATAAAACCCATCTTGTCATTCAGCCTCCTTGAGGACAGACTTAAACAGCGAATCCTGTTTTTGCCCCGAGGCAAAGGAATCTTAGAGAATGGAATACATATATCCCACTCCTGATTTTAGTGGAAAGAGGCAATCTGGTGAATTTGAAAGAGTTGAAATAAACTAGAACAATATATTGGCTACTACACTTAACAGGATCGGAAAATATTAATGAACAGAAATATTCACATACCCCTCCCTCTTTAGAGCATCTCCTTTATGGTTTCCTGGACAGATGAAGATAACAGGTAAAGCAGAGAGAATCTGGGACACTCAAGGACAAGCTTAATTTACATGAGAAGGTCCAGGGAGTTCTGGATAGAAAAGACTGGAATAGATGCTGACTAGAGAAAGCAGGGGCCACACAGGCTAGGTTTGAGAGAGGTTTTCTAGAGTTCAGAGACTGGAAGGAGAGAGATTTTAGGGGTAGTGTCTGTCATCTGTGTTATATTGAGAGATCTGTTAAGAAGTTTTGTTTTATATATACATACATATATATATATATATATATACATAGCTTTATATATACATATATATGTGTGTGTGTATATATATATATATTTGGCTGCACTAAATCTTAGTTGCAGTATGCCAACTCTTCACTGAGACATGTGGGATTCTAATTCCCTGACCAGGGATCAAACCACGAGGGAAGTCCCTTGCTTTATATTTTACATGTAATCCACCTTTGGTATTTTTGAGAGACTTCCTAAAGACATAATTTGCTTTTCAATTATTTTTTGGTAATAGGGCTATTTGTCTTAGGGAGATGAGCCCAAAGTGGAGACAGAAACATTGGACTCTATGTAAATTACAAATGGGACCGTGAGGGTGAAACATCTGCTTATCTTACACTGTCTGAGTCAAAATATGCTGTTGGGAGAAGAATGGTTGAACCTAGCATTTAGAAAATATTTATGCTTTTTAGACTCTCAGAGGTAATCCCGAGAGCAGTGAAAACCATGAATGAGGAACAAAAATAAGTTAGAAAAACTAATGCCTGGACCAAAAAATAGTCCAGTTTGGTCCTGATTGAAAGTTAAATGGGAGCTAGAGAAGGAGTCTAAGAAAGATGTTACAATTAAATATGAAATGAGGAAAGGAGGGAATACTAACAACTGAAAAGTGTTCTTTTCACAGTTAGGATTTTTATTAATTTTTAAGAACACTTACCAGAATACTGAGCAGCTGGTTGCATGTTGCCCACATTTCTTCTTTGGTCTTTATAATCTGGGGGTGGCCTTGTCAAATGTCTGTTTATCTGATCTTGTGGAGCAATTTTCTCCTAGAAAACACAAATGAAAATATAATAAACTGCATTGTTAGTTTCTCACTTGTAAAAATTTATAGATTGTTATTCAAAAACGTAAGAATATTATTATTCAAAAGGTAACAAATTCTGAATAAATAATGTTATTCAAAAGGTAAGAACAATTTTGCAGTCATAGTCAAGAATCATGGATCTTAGTTTTTTGGGTTTTTTTTTTTTCATGTTATCAAGTCAGTGGCGAATCATGGACCTTATTTAGAGACTGATCTTTTAGATTTCAATTTCCTTCATAAAAGTTTAGTTTCTACCTCTCGTTAACATGCAACATGTGTTTTGAGTCTAGTAACTACTCTCATTTTCTTTACTTTGCAGTTAACTTTCAGAGAGGACAGATTTTCTGTGACTTCAGAGATGGGTATTTCTAGTTTTGTTTTGTAGCACACCTGATATATTTTGGTACCTTTATGTACTTCTGGTCCCACCATGTGTGGAAGGTGTAGGAATAAGACTGTCAGACAAAATGCAGGACACTCAGGTATTCTGTTTTTATTTGCTAAATTTGGCAACCTGAGAGATAGGAGGAGATAACCTATCAGACAACTGACATAGGCATTCTGTGCATATTATCTCATTTTCCCCTTCATAAGGTTGATGAGGGCAAAGGCTAATAGAGTTTTGTCAAGAGAATGCACTGGTCATAGCAAACACCCTTTTCTAACAACACAAGTGAAGACTCTATACATGGACATCACCAGATGCTCAACACTGAAATCAGATTGATTATATTCTTTGCAGCCAAAGATGGAGAAGCTCTATACAGTCAGCAAAAACAAGACCGGGAGCTGACTGTGGCTCAGATCATGAACTCCTTATTGCCAAATTCAGACTTAAATTGAAGAAAGTAGGGAAAACCACTAGACCATTCAGGTATGACCTAAATCAAATCCCTTATGATTATACAGTGGAAGTGAGAAATAGATTTAAGGGACTAGATCAGATAGACAGAGTGCCTGATGAACTATGGACAGAGGTATGTGACATTGTACAGGAGACAGGGATCAAGACTATCCCAATGGAAAAGAAATGCAAAAAAGCAAAATGGCTGTCTGGGGAGGCCTTACAAATAGCTGTGAAAAGAAGAGAAGCTAAAGGCAAAGGAGAAAAGGAAAGATATTCCTATTGATGCAGAGTTCCAAAGAATAGCAAGGAGGAATAAGAAAGCCTTCCTTAGTGATTAATGCAAAGAAATAGAGGAAAACAAAAGAATGAGGAAGAATAGAGATTGCTTCAAGAAAATTAGAGATACCAAGGGAAAATTTCATGCAAAGATAGGCACAATAAAGGACAAAAATGGTATGGACTTAATAGAAGCAGAAGCTATTAAGAAGAGGTGACAAGAATACACAGAAGAAATGTACAATAAAGGTCTTCATGACCCAGATAATCACAATGGTGTGATCACTCACCTAGAGCTGGACATACTGCAATGTGAAGTCAAGTGGGCCTTAGAAAGGCTAAGTGAACAAAGCTAGTGAAGGTGATGGGATTCCAGTTGAGCTATTTCAAATCCTGAACGATGATGCTGTGAAAGTGCTGCACTCAATATGTCAGCAAATTTGGAAAACTCAGCAGTGCCCACAGGACTGGAAAAGGTCAGTTTTCATTCCAATCCCAAAGAAGGGCAATCCCAAAGAATGCTCAAACTACTGCACAATTGCACTCATCTCACACACTAGTAAAGTAATGCTCAAAATTCTCGAAGCCAGGTTTCAGCAATATGTGAATCGTGAACTTCCAGATGTTCAAGCTGGTTTTAGAAAAGGCAGAGGAACCAGAGATCAAATTGCCAACATCCACTGGATCATTGAAAAAGCAAGAGAGTGCCAGAAAAACATCTATTTCTGCTTTATTGACTATGTCAAAACCTTTGACTGTGTGGATCACAATAAACTGTGGAAAATTCTAAAAGAGATGGGAATATCAGACCACCTGACCTGCCTTTTGAGAAACCTATGTGCAGGTCAGGAAGCAACAATTAGAACTGGACATGGAACAACAGACTGGTTCCAAATAGGAAAAGGAGTACGTCAAGGCTGTATATTGTCACCCTGCTTATTTAACTTATATGCAGAGTGCATTATGAGAAATGCTGGGCTGGAAGAAGCACAAGCTGGAATCAAGATTACCGGGAGAAATATCAATAACCTCAGATATGCAGATGACACCACCCTTATGGCAGAAAGTGAAGAGGAACTAAAAAGCCTTTGATGAAAGTGAAAGAAGAGAGTGAAAAAGTTGGTTTAAAGCTCAACATTCATAAAACTAAGATCATGGCATCTGGTCCCATCACCTCATGGGAAATAGATAGGGAAACAGTGGAAACAGTGTCAGACTTTATTTTTTTGGGCTCCAAAATCACTGCAGATGGTTATTGCAGCCATGACATTAAAAGACCCTTGCTCCTTGGAAGGAAAGCTATGAATAACCTAGATAGCATATTAAAAAGCAGAAACATTACTTTGCCAACAAAGGTCTGTCTAGTCAAGGCTATGGTTTTTCCAGTGGTCATGTGTGGATGTGAGAGTTGGACTATAAAGAAAGCTGAGTGTCAAATAATGGATGCTTTTGAACTGTGGTGTTGGAGAAGACTTTTGAGAGTCCCTTGGACTGCAAGGAGATCCAACCAGTCCATCCTAAAGGACATCAGTCCTGGGTGTTCATTGGAAGGACTGATGCTGAAGCTGAAACTCCAATACTTTGGCCACCTGATGCAAAGAGCTGACTCATTGGAAAAGACCCTGATGCTGGGAGGGATTGGGGGCGGGAGGAGAAGGGGATGACAGAGGATGAGATGGCTGGATGGCATCACCGACTGGACGAACATGAGTTTGAGTAAACTCCAGGAGTAGGTGATGGACAGGGAGGCCTCGTGTGCTGCGATTCATGGGGTTGCAAAGAGTCGGACACGACTGAGCGACTGAACTGAACTGAACTAAAGGTTGCTTATTCCCACTTATATATAAGGAATGGAAGTGTTAGGTAGGAAGTCAGGCCTGAGGGGTGGCCTGTCCGAATAGGATGCATACTGATCTCTAAACCCCACCCCAGACACACCCCAATGTGGCACAGAACTCACAGATACGCTGCAAAATAACCAGGGACGGGTCCAACTCCTGCGCATGCACCCTAGGCACCCAGCAATACAAACTGACCACTGGGGCTTCTCCATCTCCAGGGCATGGCCATTGATGCAAAGTTGCGTCCTCAAGTGACCTTAGGCAGCTGGGAGTGTATTAAGGGTTCATAAATAGTCTATACACACATGCATCTGATTATAACAGGCTGAATTATGGGAAAGACAACCTGTTGTTATGTAATTCGCAACTGTCAATCAAAACTGTCAGTCCACACCCACCTAACTGAATATGTAAAAGCCGCGTCTTTAACAACCTCCCCCACTCCGCCCCCACCTCATCATTCTGGCGCCAGTACCTCCCTGGGCTTGGCACACCTCTCTCTTGAGGTTCTCTTTCTGTTATTTCTTCTCTTTCTGTTCTTCCTTCAATAAAGTTGTTTTGGCCATGGGTAAGACCTCAGCTTCTTCTTTGTGTCTTTACCAAGGCCCACGGAGGGAGGGTCCTTTTCGACCTCCCGAAATCCATGAACAGAAGCTTCCTTAGGTTGAGTAACATGTCCAAGATCACACAGTAGCAAAACTGAAACCCGATGCTGAGTCAAAAACAGGCTTTCTGATCACATGATACAAGGGTCTCTCGCTGCTTCGTTTCTCTGCACCCCATTCTCAAGAGTCCAGACATTTCGCAGATTCCCTTCTTTTCTTTCTGGTATCAGCCACCTTTAGATCTTTAGAGTAGGTGAGTTTGGAGGCAAACAGAGGAAATAGGGGCATTCTTTTTATACGAGGCCAAGTGTTAGTCACCCAGTCGTGTCTGAATCTTTGCAACCCCATGGACTGCAGCTCCTCAGGCTGCTCTGTCCATGGAATTCTCCTTCAAGAATACTGGAGTGGGCTGCCATTCACTTCTCCAGGGGACCTTCCCAACCCAGGGACCGAACACGGGTCTCCCGAGTTGCAGGCACATTCTTAATCATCTGAGCCACCTGGGAAGGCCCATATGAGGCCAAAGAACAGCACGAATGCAGTAGGGAAGAACAAGTCTAACTCCACATTAGCTCGGCTCCTTTTCCTTCAACCTTTGTGCTCTGCCGGCTGTGCTTAGTCATGCTGGCTCTGCACCTTCTGTAAGAGAATGTTGCCTAGAGCCTGAAATGTATGAGATATCCCATTCTTGGGGCTCTGATCTTTAAAAGTCCATTCATACAGATATAAAAAAATTGCAGAACAGATAATAACATCTGTCTTGTTAGAGGTTTTCAGGAACATTGTCACCTGACCTACCTGGACAGTTGGAAAAACAAAGAATTCTGACACCAAGAAGTTTGCCATAACTGACCACTCCCTCCCTCACCTTGCCTTTAGAAGTGCTTTGCTGAAACCCTTCTGGGGTTATGGGGTTTTGGGGCATGAGCCACCTGTCCCCTTGGCCCTGCAATAAATCTTTCTCTGTTCTAAGCTCTGACGTTTTGTGTTGCTTGCACTCACTGTGTGTCAGGGACGTGGATTTGTGTTCAGTAACAGGAATACACCTGTTGGGTTTACCATTCATTGGAGGGAGGACGAAAACACATCATGAGGGACAACAGAGTGTCTCAGCAGAACTGTATTAGAATATTACAGGATTTGGGCTTTGATTGGGTGACTTAGGGTGGTTCTAAGGAAGCGAGGATTTGTTCTAGGTTGTAAGCAATCTGAAAGTGAGGTTGATGCTAGCACTGAGTAAAAAACTACACATCATGCATTCAGCAAAAGATGGGATATTTTCGTATTTTGTGAGTTGCACAGGGATCTTGTATGTGTTTGTTTGTAGACAAAATTATGAAGTGGCCCTCTTTTGTCTCATTTTATCATGGTCTCAGAGCAATACTGTCTGAGC